CAAGAAGAAAACATCTAACCCCATCCAAAAATGGGGCAATGAAATGAACAGAAACTTTCTCAAAGAAGAAATCCGAATGGCAAAAAAGCACATGAGAAAATGCTCTACATCATTAATCATCAGGGAGATGCAGATCAAAACCACAATGAGATACCATTTCACACCTCAGAGACTGGCCCACATTCAAAAGAACAAAAGCAACCGATGCTGGCGTGGATGTGGCGAGAAAGGGACACTCCTTCACTGTTGGTGGGAATGTCCACTGGTTCAGCCCTTCTGGAAAACAGTATGGACGATTCTCAAAAAATTAGAAATTGAGCTCCCATTTGACCCAGCAATACCACTCCTGGGAATATATCCCAGAGAGGCAAAAATGTATAGTCGAAGTGACATCTGCACTTGTTTGTTCATTGCAGCACTCTTTACAATAGCCAGAAACTGGAAGAAACCTGAATGCCCAAGAACAGATGACTGGTTAAAGAAACTTTGGTACATCTACACAATGGAGTACTATGTAGCTCTTAGAAAAGATGAAGTCATGAAATTTACATACAAGTGGTACAATATGGAAAGTATCATGCTAAGCGAAATGAGTCAGAAAGAGAGGGATAGACATAGAAAGATTGCATTCATCTGGGGGATATGAAGTAACAAAGTATGAGATTAATACCCAAGAATAGCTGAGATCAGCACCAGGAGGATTACTCCATAACTTAGAGGCCAGCCGGGTATCCTAGAGGAAAGGGCAGTTCAGATAGAGAAGGAGCACCAAATAAAAGATGTTTGGAGGATCCTCCCAGGAGGGGAGATGCATGTCGAAAGTAGACTATGGACTGAACATGTTTGCCACTCAATGCCTCTTTTGCAGACCACAACACCCAAAAGGAGAGAGAGAACACAGGGGATTACCCTGCCACAGAGACAGGGGGGTGGGGGGATGGGGGTGGGAGGGATATTATCCGTGGTGGTGGAAAATGGGCACTGGTGGAGGGATGGGTAACTGATCATTGTATAATTGAAACCAAAGCACAAAAAATTATAAATTTACAACTGTAAAAAAATAAAATAAAATAAAGGGGGAAAAAAGAGAAAAAAAAAGAATATTTGCTCTGAAACTTTGGTTAGATGCAAAGTTTCTCTTATGTTTCTTTTTGGAAGAAACATTTGGAACTACAAGTAAAAGTGAAGCAAAGACTGTGACTAATAAAGCTAACAAGTGAAGGTAACAAGTGTTAAAATGTTGACAAAAGTTAGAAGGTTATTAGTGAAGCTGGGGAAAGGGAATAGGAACAAAGACATAGGTCTCTTCCAGTGGAGGGTATAGATATTTGCCCATGCTACCATTACAAATGAAGAAAGGGGTGGTCAGAATACACTGTAGCACTGTCCTGCTATTCATGGCTTTCTGTGAATGGGCACTAGTGTCTCACAACAAATTGTGAGACTTTTTGTTATTGTTTTTGGCATATCGAATACATCATGGGTAGCTTGCCTGGCTGTGCCTTGCAGGTGAGATACTCTTGGTAGCTTGCCGGGCTCTCTGAGAGGGGCAGAGGAATGGAATCCGGGTTGGTTCCATGCAAGGTGACCTACTTGCTATGCTATTGGTCCAGCCAATGGAAAATCTCTCCTAAAATAGGAGACTAACACCCAAGAGTGGCCGAGATTAGTACCAGGAATTTTGCTCCATGGCTTGGAGGCCAGCCACACAAGCTAGGGGGAAAGGGAGCTTAGATAGAGAAGGGAGCACCAAATAAAGGGTGTTAAGAGGATCCTCCTAGGATGGGAGAAGCATGTTGAAAGTATACTATAGACCAAACATGATTGCCACTCAATGCCTCTTTTGCAAACCACAACACCCAAAAGGAGAGAGAGAGAGAGAAAAAAGGGAATGCCCTGCCACAGAGGCAGGGTGGGATGGGGACCATGGGGGGTGGGAGGGATATTGGGATCTGTGGTGGTAGGAAATGGGCACTGGTGGAGGGATGGGTACTTGATCATTGTATAACTGAAACCCAAGCACAAAAATTTGTAAGTCTACAACTGTACCACATGGTGTTTCACTAATAAAAGTTAAAAGTAAAAAATAAAAAGAGGGCTGGGGGAAGAATACAGACGTTAAAGTTTGTGCCTGTTCCCGAAAACTGCCAACAGTGCTCTCTGTTGCTGGAGTGATAGCACAGTGGTAGGGCACACGCCTTGTACGTGACCAACCCAGGTTCGATTCCTTGTCCCTCTCGGAGAAGCCTGCAAGCTACTGAGAGTATCTCGCCTGCACGGCAGAGCCTGGCAAGCTATCTGTGATATACCAAACACAGTAACAACAAATCTCACAATGGAGACGTTACTGGGCCCACTCGAGCAAATCGATGAACAATGGGAGGACAGTTCTCCAGTCCTCCTCATTTAATTTATAACGTAGTTCACAGTATTTGATCACATTTAATATTCAAACACCAATCCCACCACCATTACACCTTCCCACCACCAAATTTGGGATGTTTCCATCCCAAGCCCCAATTCCTGTCCCAAAGCACAACTGAAATTACATATTTAGTATTGTCTTTTAAAAACAACAGCTGAAAATACTGCAAAAAATTATCCATAGAAGAAACAGTGTGAAGATTGTTCTATTTTGGCAGGGGCCATTAAGACATTCTTTAGGAAATAACTAACATATTGTTAAAGGTTGAGTGATGTGAGCTTTCATGTATATATTATCATATATATTTATATATAATATGTATATATGCATATATGTATGTATATAAATGTGTATATATGTCTATATATATTTATATTTCCCTCTATGATTTGTTACCTGCTATTTGAACCCCATCAAATGTGGTGTGGTACTTATGGAGAATGGATCGGTTATGTCTTATGATGTGTTGTGCAGCTGCCGGAATACGTTCATCACATGTGAGGCTTGGCCCCAGCTTGTGGGAAGTAGCCTTCAGCATAGAGGCGGCTTGGTTCTGGAGGTTTCCAGCTGCCAGGGCTGGGGCCCTTGGGGCGGCGATGTCTCTCACCTGTCCCCACTCTGGTGCACCTCAAGTAAAACAGCTTGGCACAGAGTCCGGTGGTATGGCTATGATGGGCATCATGTCAGCAATCCTCTTTGAACAGAGTCAGAAGTAAACTCTGAGAACTGCCTAGTTTGTCTCTGCTATATAAATACATATACAAACATATATACATACATACATAAATCTAAAAAGGACGTAAAACATCTAATCACAACACTTTTGTGATAGTGAGTGAGGCTCATCCACTAAAGACTTTAAAATAGTGTTCCTAATATTTTATAATATTAGAAACCAATTCCAAATTTAAATGAAACTTGTTTTAAAATTAGAGGACAGGTAGGAATAGTTGATAATTGTGAAGGCGTGTCTCAAGAAGCCCTTGAACACAGTGCCTGAATAAGATTGATGGTAAATTAGAATGTCAAAAATAATAAAAATTTAAATACAGCAAACAGCTAGGCAGAGTAAAGCATACTCTTTTTCAGCTGTAATAAAAATGAAAAGATAAAGTAAACATTCCAGCAGAAATAAAATAAGCAAAATGGCAGGAATTAGTGGAGAAATTTTAAGTTGTAAAGTCAAGTTCACCCTAACAACACACTTTCCTATTGCATTAGTTGAAATGCCAGCAATAAAATAATGCAAGTTAGGGTCGTCTTAATGTTACATTTAAAGTATCTGGGATATGATTAAAACCACCTATCAGAAGAAGAAAACATAATAAGAACCTCCATGATAAATGACAGTACTTATATGCAGTAATACCAGAATTAATTGAGAGGAATGATGTTAGGATTGGGCTGGAGCGATAGCACAGCGGGTAGGGCGTTTGCCTTGCACACAGCCAACATGGCCGACCTGAGTTCGATTCCTCTGCCCCTCTTGGAGAGCCTGGCAAGCTACCGAGAGTAGCTTGCCCGCACGGCAGAGCCTGGCAAGCTACCCGTGTTGTGTTCGATATGCCAAACACAGTAACAACAAAGTCTCCAATAGAGACGCTACTGGGCCCGCTTGAGCAAATCGATGAACAATGGGAGGACAGTGACAGTGATGTTAGGATCATCTAAACAGGAATTATATTTGTTACCACAAAACTGTTGCAACAATCAAATGTTTAGTGAAATAAATGAAAAACAAAACAATTCAGGAAACTTAATATCAAACAGAATCAAATGAAAAAGTAACAAAGTCCCAGAATTGGTATTGGGGTCATATGGAACCTCAATTTTCCAAGGACAGTAGAGACAGGGCCAGGAATATTGCTTCATGATTGGAAGCCTGCCTTATGAGCTGGGAGAGAAGGCAGCTGGAATAGAGAAGGGATCACTAAGTCAATGATGGTTGAAGGGATAGTTCAGGATGGGAGAAGTGTGCTGAAAGTAGATAAAGGACCAAACGTGATACTCTCTCAGTATCTGTATTGCACACCATAATACCTAAAGAAAAGAGAGAGTATGGGGGAAATTGCCATAGAGGCAGGGGGAAGTGGTATGGGATGAGGAGGAAATACTGGGGACATTGATGGGACATTGTTGGCGGAAAATGTGCACTGGTGGAGGGATGGGTGACCATTCTATGACTGAAACCCAAACATGAAAGGTTTGTAACTGTATCTCATGTGATTCAATTAAAAAAAAGGAAAAAAATTGACTAAGTAAGCTTCATTTTTTTAAATGTTATTTCTGCTAAGGATGAGGTCACAGTCACAGATTATGCAAGAGGAATTTATCTGGAAAGTTTATGCAGCTGTAAAGAGATTAAGGAAACTGAAACAAAAGTATCCTGAATTGTGAAAGTAGGTCTCAAACCCAATAAAAATTAAAAGTGAACAAAAGAGATTGCAGTACATTGAGCTCCATAGAGAGAGCACCAGGGCAAGTGAGAGCCAGACAGGGGCTGGGCGACTCTGTGCCTCACTGAGGAAAATAAGTAAACATAGGCAAAGGAGGTCCTAAGAAGCCAAGAGGCAAAATGTTATATGCATCCTTTGTTTGCCAGGAGGAGCACAAGAATAAGCACCCAGATGCCTCCATCAGCTTTTCAGAGTTTTCTAAGAAGTGTTCAGAGAGGTGGAAGACTATGTCTGCTAATGAGAAAGGAAAATTTGAAGACATGGCAAAGGCTGACAAGGCCCATTATGAAAGAGAAACGAAAACTTATATCCCTCCTAAAGGGGAAACAAAAAAGAAGTTCAAAGATCCCAATGCACCCAAGAAGCCTCCTTCGTCCTTTTTCTTGTTTTATTCTGAGTATCATCCAAAAGTCAAAGGAGAGTATTCTGGCCTGTCTATTGGTGATGTTGCAAAGAAACTGGGAGAGATGTGGAACAACACTGTTGCAGAGGATAAGCAGCCTTGTGAAAAGAAGGCTGCCTAGCTGAAGGAGAAATAAAAAAAGAATATTGCTGCATACTGAGCTAAAGGAAAGCCTGATGTGGCCAAGAAGGGAGTTGTTAAAACCGAAAAGAGCAAGAAAAAGAAGGAAGAGGAGGAAGATGAAGAAGATGAAGAGGATGAGAAAGAAGAGGAGGATGAAGAAGACGAAGATGAAGAAGATGATGATGATGAATAAGTCAGTTCTAGCAGTTATTTTTTCTTGTATATAAAGCATGTAACCCCCATGCACACAACTCACTCCTTTTAAAGAAAAAAAATTGAAATGTAAGGCTGTGTAAGATTTGTTTTTAAACTGTACAGTGTCTTTTGTTTTGTATAGTTAGTACACTATTGAATGTGTCTTTAGATAGCCCTGTCCCGATGGTATTTTCAATAGCCACTAACCTTGCCTGGCACAGTGTGGGGGTTGTAAATTAGCATGGACATTTAAGGCATTTTCTTGTTGGTGCACAGCAGAAATTAGTTAAATATAGGGATGGTAGTTTTTTTCATTTTCAGTTATCTCTGATACAGCTTATATGAAAGAATTGTTCTGTTAACTGAATACCACTCTGTAATTAAAAAAGAAAATGAAAAAAGTTGCGGCTGTTTTCTTGACATTCTGAATGCTTCTAAGTGAATAAATTTTTTTTATTCAAAATAAATAAATAAAAGTGATACAAAGATAGACAAAAGAGAAACTAGAAAGATGTCAAAGTCCAGATGAAGGTGAAAGGCAAGATTAAACTTATGAACAGGGGAAAATCCGAAACCAATTTCTGGAAGAGGGGAGAATTTAGTCCTCACTCCAATCTATAGAGATAGGTAACTCTGTCTAACCTTAATTTTGGACTAGCACTATTATAAATCTGGGAGAGTATAAGTTTTTATTGTTCTAAGAAAACAGTTTTGCATTAACTTGTCACAGCAATTCATATACATCTGACAGTAACCCAAATAAAGTATTAAAAATTAAATCCTGATCTATGAAAGAGGATGTGCATACAATCTATGATATTAGAAAATATTTTTGCACCATTCATCTAACAATTATCACATGTAATACATGAAAGTGTTGTCTAAATTTGTAGTGAATTTGCCTAGCTTAAAAACAGCTAGACAGCTTTTAAATATTTCAGTGTGATTCAAACTATTTTAAAAGAAACAACATTTAAATATAGTCCATTATAGTGTTTGTGTGTATGTGAGTGTGTGAGTGTGTGTGTGTGGGGGGGGGGCTGAGTGGAACAAAAACATATTTGATCTGCTACAGCTGAAGTATCTATCATTTTAGATGTAGCACTGCAGCACCGTCATTCCCTTGTTCATCGATTTACTCGAGCAGGCACCAGTATTGTCTCCATTGTGGGACTTGTTGCTTCTTTTTTTGGCATATCAAATACGCCACAGAGAGCTTGCTATGCTCTGCTGTGTGGGCGGGCTACTCTTGGTAGCTCGACGGGCTCTCCAAGAGGGATGGAGAAATTGAATCTGGGTCGGCTGTGTGTAAGGCAAACGCCCTACCTGCCTTGCTATCACTCCAGTCCACCACTTTAGATAGATATCATAACTATATAAAATCAGAGCTCCAAGGTTTTGAGTGTTTTGCAGCATGGCTGCTCATGCTCTTAGGCTAAAGAGACTGATTATAGGATTTTTCAGCCTTCATAACAATGTGAATCAGTTGCTTATTATTTCTATTGATTTATTATTACCTATTATTTTGTTTAGGTAATTCAGACTAATACAACACAGATTTATCTAAACTTAAGGGGAAAAGACCAAGCAATGCAATAAGAATGGGTTAAGACATTGAAACAAAGAGGATGTACAGGTGGAAAATATGTACATGAAAAGATGTACATAATTTTAATGCCAATAGCTAACAGTGAAATATATTAAAGTCCTAATGAATTATCAATACATGTTCATGAGAGTTAGTGCTGTAGCGATAGCACAGCGGGTAGGGTGTTTGCCTTGCACGAGGGCCACAAGGCCGACGTGAGTTCGATTCCTCAGCCCCTCTTGGAGAGCCCAGCAAGCTACCAAGAGTATTTTGCCCGCACTGCGAAGCCTGGCAAGCTACCCGTGATGTATTTGATATGCCAAACACAGTAACAACAAATCTCACGATGGAGACATTACTTGGCATGCTCGAGCAAATTGTTGAACAACAGGAGGACAGTCCATTCATCAGAGTTGTTAAAATTGGAAAAAACACAACCCTCAATGCTTGTAAGAATGTAAAAGAATAGGTCACTTCTACATTTCTAATGGGAATGTTAAATGGTAGTAGCATTCTTGAAAAAAAGAAATTTGGCAGTTTATTTTATAAAATTCACACTTATAAATACTATTTTAACACTCAATTGTATTCATGGGCAATTGAATTTTTGGAATACTGAAAATTACTTTTCACTAAAAAACACACAAATACACATATTTATGTGCTCATAATCTTTGTAATTAACTTAAATTGCAAGATAATTCAAATAATACTTTAATTTAAATATATATACAAAATATATTATATATTAAAATAGTTATAAAAAGACAATTTAGATTTTGTGGTGATATAATTATATACAAAAACATATACTTCATAATTTCATACAAAATAAATTGCATGTATGTACACAGAACTTGTATGGGTAAATATGTTAAAATAAGAATTATTTGTTGGGGGCTGGAGCAATAGCACAGCAGGTAGGGCATTTGTCTTGCACACAACTGACCCGGGTTCAATTCCCAGCATCCCTTATGGTGCCCTACACACCACCAGGAGTGATTCCTGAGTGCAGAGCCAGGAGTAACCCCTGAGCATCGTCTGGGTGTGACCCAAAAAGAATAAAAAAAAAGAATTATTTATTAGGATGTATAGATTTTATTACAATAGTTATACTAAAATATAAAATTAACAGTATATTTAACATTAACTACTAAATTTGCACAGGATTTCCATAATTTTGAAACTTCAAATTTATAGTCATCTTATATTTGAAGATAATTCAAAAGAAGAAATAGAATTTTAATATGATACCTAATCTTATTCAAAACCAAATAATATAAATTAAAACCCTGGCAACATTGTGTGTGTGCATACCTTATAAATGGCTAGAATTAAGAAGTCTTTCAATACTATTAAAGAATATAAGCATTCCCTAAATGTCAACTTTAAGTATAATGTTGACAGAGAAGTAAAAAACAATGCATCTCAAAAGTAATTTGGTATTTTCTCATAAAGTAAGACAGAATGTCAAAAAAGTAAAAAAGATACCTTTCAAAATATTATTTGGTATTTTCTTTAAAAGTAAGTCAGAAATTCTCGCTTGGAATCTGATTTTGTCCAAAAAGAAGCATTCAGCAGTATGGAGACTTATTTTTGGTCTGTCACAACTGGTGTCTAGCTGGGTAATGATGGTCTGGAAGCTACTGATCATGGACAATCTCAGCGTAGTGATGAATTATCAGGTACAATGGAGTTGGGTGGGGGGCGGGGGAATACTGGTTTACAACCAACAGTAGGGTCTAGCAGTCCCACTTCTAGGTAAAAACAATTCTGATTCTGAATTTAAATTTTATAGGTAGAATTCTGAGAGAGTTCTGGAACTAATGCTTGTTATTTTCCTTCAACAGAATAGCACAGCGGTAGGGCGTTTGCCTTGCATGCAGCCAACATGGCCGACCCGAGTTCGATTCCTCCGCCCCTCTGGAATAGCCCAGCAAGCTACCGAGAGTATCTCGCCCGCACGGCAGAGCCTGGCAAGCTCCCCGTGACGTATTTGATATGCCAAACACAGTAACAACAAAGTCTCCAATGGAAAACGTTATTGGGCCCGCTCGAGCAAATCAATGATCAACGGGAGGGCCTTTACTTACTTTACTTTACTTCTTATTTCAATAGTCAAACTTAGCAGAGGATTTTCAGGTCATAGATCGTGGTTTGTATTTTTTGTTTCTTTTGTTCTATATATCCATCACTTACAGTGCCATAGTCATATTCACAATACCAAAGAATAGCTTCTAAAAAATTCTGAAAAAGGTCTAAATACAATTTTTAAGAGTCAAAAAGTGAATCGTTCTGAAGCTTTGATGTTTGTATGAAAACTGTATTCATTTCCAGATGTTTTGAACTGTGATAGAACTTTTTTGAAAAATGTGTGTATTTCTAAATGCTTATTTTTAGTTGCTAAAAATGAAGACTTTCCTCCATGTAAGTTGTTATATTGATGTATTTGAAGGCATTTGAATGAATCAATGTGCATGGCCAAGTTTGTGTTGACAGGATACTGCCTGCACCAACGCCTCTATTGTTGTATGTTCTGAGGAATATTTCTTCTCCAGTGTTAAAAGTGGCTTCATGTGGTTGATACTTTCTCATTTCGATCAAACAAATGACCTTGTACTTGATGTTCTGACCTTGCACCATCAGGTCTTCGATGGATGCTTCCGATTCCAGTGTATGTGTGTTGAAAGTACAGACAATAATTTTAGTCCTTTGTTTTGACAGACTTGTTTGGACCTGAGAATGTATGAGCCTCTCCTTGCGCACCCTTCTTAATGCTGCCATATTGGGGTCACATTGAGGGTCAGGTGAATGAGGCCCATTATTGTTAGTGTTTTTGGCATACCAAATACACAACAGATAGCTTGCCAGACTTTGCTGTGCCAGTGATTTGAATGCCAAGATAGGACCAGGAAGTTCACCCGAAGAACTCCACATCGGGACACATGGCCTAGAATGGAATGAGCATCATGAGAGACTCTCTGGGTTCATTATGTTGACAAAGACCATCCATGGTAACTCACAGTTCCAGAAGGCTAAATATAAACATTGGACATGGGAGTCTCCTGCTGGATGGTTCCACAATGAAATTGACTACATTCTATTCAATTGATGGTTTTGCCTGACCGATATTACTGTTATCCCAAAATTCCAAATGGGATTGGAACACCGTCTCCTTTGAGCAAAATTCTACTTAATAGATTGGGGAGAAAGGGCTGCAAAGTTTAAGAAGAGAATTCCAAATACACATTTGACAAGGGGTTGATATCAAGGATATACAAATTACTGGTTGAACTCCACAAGAAGAAAACATCCAACCCCATCAAAAATGGGGCGATGAAATGAACAGAAACTTTCCCAAAGAAGAAATCTGAATGGCTAAAAGGCACATGAGAAAATGCTCCACATCATTAATCATCAGGGAGATGCAGATCAAAACCACAATGAGATATCATTTCACACCACAGAGACTGGTCCACATCCAAAAGAACAAAAGCAACCTGTGCTGGTGTGGATGTGGTGAGAAAGTGACACTCCTTCACTGCTGGTGGGAATGCCGACTGGTTCAGCCCTTTTGGAAAACAGTATGGACGATTCTCAAAAAATTAGAAAT